AGCAGGAGTAGCAGTGTAGAGAATGACAGCAAAACAAGGAAAGATGAAACTCTTCAAGAAATGAGGGAGAATGATTAGGGGCTCTGACGATGAGTGCTCCAAGGAGGACTAGCCTTATGTGCGGAACCTCGAAGGAGCAGGGGTGGTGCTGGGGGGTTAGAGTGGAGGGAGGATAAATGGCCCAGAAGAGGCAACAAGGAGCAAAGAGGACACCTACCTCACCCCAGCCTCAGTGGTAGGAGAGAATTAAAAAATAAATAAGTAAATAGACACCTGCTTGAGAAGGTTGTGGGGGAAGCAGTACCTTCAGAGGAGAGCCAGCTGTCAGTGAAGTACAGTCAGTCCTCATTGTTCATTGCAGTATGTTCTAGACAGTTGCCGTGGATGCTAAATTAGCCAATACTGAATTGTTACTCCTAAGAGAAATACAAGATTAGGTTCCCGTGAGCCTCTGGTCACAAGATTTTTATCAGCTGATCAGTACCTAACTTTGTCTGATGTGTATTTCTGTTTAAAGACACCTGATTTAATACATAGCGTTGATTGGTTCTCATTAAACTCACGGCCGACAGCGCTAGAATTCATGCCTGGGCAAAGCTTATCTAAAGCACCCATTTTCTCTGTAAGGCTTATCACAGTCTTCTTGCTCTTAGGAAAACTAGACATGTACCATGCTTGTTGGCCATTTTAAACATCAAAATCACCAACGAAAAGCATAAAAATGTAAAATATGTGGCATTCAATAGACCACAAAAAGGACACATGTGTAGTGTGAGAGCTGAAACAAGAAGCCAGAGCGCCATCTTGTTCAACCTCACCTGGGAACGCGGGTGTTGACTCAGATTCTTCACTGCTCTGCATATGTTCACAAATGACTGAAAGCATTACAAATATTGATTTTGGAGTCACAAATAAATTTTGGTGGGTAGGCAAATTTGCAAATATGAAATCTGCGAATAATGAGGATCGACTCTAAGTGAAGGAGGTTCAGAGAAGAGTTCGGGTCATGGAGGATTCTGTTGATGACCTTGAATTCCAGTAGATACAGTTGAGGTGCTTTTAGGATGTCAGAGGAGTATGAGATATGGTCGGATTAGGGGACATACAGAACTTTATGTGGATGAGAGGGCCAGCGGTGAGGGATGACTTGAAATCCTTGGGCTTTTTGACACATCTGGGGAAAACAGAAATGCAGAAGGCAATGTCTTTGGGAGTGGGAGTTAGTTTGATAAAACTTTTGCTGTTCATGTAACAAATCTTGGTGTCTTTCCGTTTTCATTTAACACTGTACCATTACTTCCTTTTGTCTTTTTCCTTATTCTTCCCTCTTCTTCATCCTTCCTTCCCCTTGGTTTAACACCAGCATCCTCAGAATTGCAGGAATGACTGAGGAACCATAAAGAGAAGAGAGATCCCTAGAGATCAGTAGCTGCAGGGAGCGATGGCCCACTCTGTGGGATCATGCTCATGTGCCCCTGGGCTGCCACACCACCCCTAAGGGAGTCTGTGCTCAGCTGCTGCTGCTCCAGCTGGAGCCAGAAGAAGAATAGCATCTACCCTCTTCCCATCTTCTCATCTCCCAGGGGCCTCCCATTAGTAGAACCTGAACTAGAACCGTGGTGGCAAAGGAATCTTATGTTTCTAGACTTCCTGCCCCTGGAATACAGGGAAAGAGTAGAAGGACACGGGTGGGGATGAGTACCAACAGGTAATGCCTGGCACACTCTGGACTTCTCTTTTCCTCTTATACTATCTATAGCCAAACACATTAAGGAATCCCTGAAAGTCTTACTTCCAAATACAAGTAGAATCAGATCGTTTCTTACTACTTCCTCTATTACTATTCTAGTCCAAACCTGCATTTCTTTTAAGTAGATTATTGCGCTAAATTCCTAATTCCTCTTATTCCAACTCTACTTGCTCCCTACAATCCATCCCCAAGGCAGTGGCCAGAGTGAAACTTTTAAACATAAATTAAGTCAAATCCCTTCTCCTCTTAAAACTCTATAATAGATCCCCATTTCGTTTAGAATAAAAACCAAAGTCCTCACCAACACGATCTGAACCACCGTTAGCTCTGACTTGATCTGGCTACCTTGGCCTCCTTGCTGTTCCTCAAACACTCTAGTCTACCCCCACCTCTGGGCCTTTGCACTGGCTGTCCTCCACTTGGAATGATCCTTCCTGGGATAATCACAGAGCTAACTCCCTTATATCCTCAAATCTCTGCTTCACCTTCTCAGGGGAGCCTACTCTGACCACCCTATTTAGTATTGTAGCTCATTCCTTACTCATTCTCACCACCTCCTCGTACTTACGATCTTTCCTGCTTTATTCTACTTTTGCTTTTTTTTTTTACAGCACTTAAATCTTCTAGCATAATTTACTAATGTTCCATATTTGTTGTTTACTGCCTATCTACCACCACTAGACTATGAGGTCCCTGGGGGCAGGGATCTTTATCTATTTTGTACACTGATCTATCCCAAACATCGGAAATAGTGGCTGCCACATAGGGAGTGCTCAATGAATTTTTGTTGAATGAATACACGAATTGTTCATAGCGGTGGAACCATAATCCATTTTGGAGACAGGAAAGGCAAATGGCCTATAGATTTTCAGAAATCTTTTTTCCTGTCCCGGTGTTGTACAAATGAAACTTAAAACCTTCTAGTGGGGACCTCTGTGAGGGGTAGTGTTGACTGGGATGGGCACGTGGGAAGATCTGAGATGACAGAAATGTTTTATATCTTGATATGGGTGGTGGCTACATGGGTGTGTATTCAGAAGAAAATTCATTGAATTGTATGCTTAAGATTTGTACATTTTAATCCATGAAAATTCTACTTGGACAAAAAAATCAAAATCAGCATGAAATTGAGGAAGGCTGAGAGGGCCTCCCCATGAAGAACTCTCGGGTTGTCATGTTAGAGCAGACAGACATGCAGAAATAGGGCAGACTCCAAGCTTAGGTGTGGAGGAAGAGGGAAACGCTTGATCCCAGCTTCTCTTTCATGGCGGCCTCAGCTTTAAGACGTCATTGTATTTTTCCTTTTTCTCTCGACTCCAAGTAAAACTGATGATCTTCCAGGTCATTGGGGAGCCCTTATTTTGTCTTGGAGTGGTCAGCTTTGGCTAAATGAGACGTGCACATGCCTGTGTGTATTTGTGTGAGTGTGTACACGAGTGTCTGTGCTCGCTCATACAGCATGAAGAGCAAGCCAGTTACTTTATGTTATTGTCATTTCCCTGGCCTTAAAATAAATGAGTTTATTTAGATTTCTGGAAATGAAACTGCCTAGTTGACATCTTATAGCTGTCTGGGATCCTCTGGGACTTGAGCTTTTTACAAACGTTTGCCCGTAGTGAAAACTGCAGGGAAGAGGGGAGCATAAACAAAGTTTTAAAAGAATGAAACACAGCTCAAAGCTAGATTTTAAATTAATGTCCATCTATTTCTGGAAGTCCCTTAAGTTCTCCATCAGTCTTATCTGCAAAATTTCCCTGATTTTTTTTTTAATTCTGCTTTTTCTATTTTTTTCCAACTCATTCAATGTAAAAGCAAAATGGAGTCTACTTATGGCCACAATATTTATTCTATCATTCAACGTTGTTGCACAAAACTCTATAAAAGCTTTTCATTCTTGAAGATCATTTTAGTTTTCTCATCTGTAGAGTCAGACGCAGTGAGAGCTGGGAGAGCAACCTCAGAGAGAGGAAAGATCCAGAAGGGACTTGGCAGCTCCACTCACATCCTGCTTGGCCCCTGGAGACGAGGTTATGGAAGGGGGGCGCATTTTCTCAGCTGAATGCGCGCTGGAAGCGCGCTTTAATGAAAACACTACAATGCTATGGGTTAAGTTTCCCTTTCTGGAGGAAAGACAATGTGCTGCTTTCCTCCTGCACCTCTGAGAATATTGTGTTCATCAAACAGAGAGCAACGTGTCAGGGGAATCTGGACGCACCCCTGGCCCATCAGCCTGCCTTAACCTCCTCTGAACTTGATCACACGCCTCTTTGGCCCATTTATGAATAAAAATAAATTCCACTTCTCTCTCAAGAATTCAGGATAGTCTTTACAGCAAAGTTTGATCTTCCCAAAGACTTGATTAGAGAGAGGCAGGAAGATGACCTTCCTGCACGTGGAAGCGGCACAGGCAGTGAAGTCCACACCATTGCCGCCTTCGTGGTCTGTTTTCAGCCCATGTAACTGTGATTTACACACAGAACTGGTTCTTAAAGAGAGGCTGAATGCCTGTCTTCCATGTACTTGCTCCTCAAAAAAAGAAAAGAGGGAGAAAAAAAGAGAAAGCAGAATCTTTTCCACCAAAGGCCTTTCTTTCGTCATTCAATCTCTGCTTCACTCTGAGGCACTTCACGAGTCCTCATTCAGTATTTATTGTTGAGCTCACTTATTTAAAATAAAAATACCTTCACAAAAATGTCTCGGTGCCATAGAAGGAGTGAAAAGGCCTATGCTTCTCCCAGAAAGTTCCAGGAAGCTTTTGCCTGGAGGGCCATAAGCATTCACAGCCTTCCCGGGTCCAGGGCTGGTGGCTGCCGAACAGTAAATTGCTGCCCAGGGACGGTGGAAGGAACAGCCTATGGGCAGCGCTTTTCAGGCTGCTGACAGTTTAAAGGCTTTTGTGGAGGGAAAATGATTTGCAAGTGTTTGGCAAACAAAAGCTCTGTGTAGCTCCATGTCACTTTTAAAGTCAACTTTAGACTCTTAACACTTCCACATTTATGAGAATGGAAAATCGACGTTTCGCCTGATGCCTGTGAAGAGCTCCCTATTGCTCTGTGCGCAAAGGCTGAGCCTGAGAACCGTGAGGTGGAGTGTTATGTCCGGCAGCCATGGACTTGGGCTGGGGCCTCAGAGCAACCAGCTCACATCCAGAGGAAAGCAGGCAGAGCCACCTAAAGACAAGGTTTACCGGGGCTCACTACTTTGGTCTCCTTTGAGTTACCCTCCAGGGACATGTACGTGTGCAGCCGGGGTGGGCACTGGCAGATGGCTCAGGGGCGTGCTCCCCAGCCATGTAAAAGAGTGGGGGTTGACAAGCAGGCTGAGAGAAAAGGTAGCCCTTTTAAGTAGGTTCAGGACCAACATGAATGTGGTTGGTCAATTATTTAACACGAGACAATGGAAATAAACTAAGTGGAAAGATCACGCAGGTCTCCCTGCCTGTGGGAATCCTGGTGGTTGTGATTATGAGATCTTAGCCCTTGTCCTCCTTGGCAGCCCAAGTCCTGGGTCAGAGATGAAGAATCTACTAGAGACACAGGCCAATAAATCACAGGTAAGTTAGATAAGCAGGTAATTTTTAAAAACTGATTTCACAGACTGAGTGTAAAGGAGAGATACTGGGAAAGTCTGTTCTTTCCTTTTAGAGAGGAGGAGCCTGGGTCCGTCACGGAAGCTTTCTCAGCTTTTCTGGTGGCAGAGATGAGACAAGCGCCCAGGCCTCCAGGACTCCTATTGGCCCCCATCAATCATTTGATCCGAGCGTCACACACAGAACAACAAAGAGTTAGGAGAGCTCCCGACACCCAGAAAGCAGCATCCCTAATGAAAAGAAACACACCCTGTCCACTTTCCCTTCACCTTGACCTGCAGACGGCCTGCATAACCATTTTTGCCTTGAAATATTTCTTTAGAATTGCGAACTTGAAGGTATAGAGAAGTGAGAAGAATTTAGAGCTGGAAGTTCTAGAACATCTCATTCCTTGGCCTCCTTTATAGATGAGCGAAAAGAGGACTGCTTCTCCTAGGAACCTTGGAATGCAGATTCTGGTTCAGGAGGTCTGGGGAGGGGCGTGGCAGTCTGCATTTCTACCAAGCCCCCAGAGGATGCTGACCCACAGACCACTCATTTGAGTATCAAGGAAGTAGACCAAGTGGCTAGCTACAGCTTACACAGCTAGTTGATGGTTGGTCCAGTGGCCATAATGAATATCTATTAATTTCAGATGGTGCAGAGCTGTGCAACTTTAAACAATCTTCTTACACTTTCTGAGTTACATTTCCTTATCTATAAAAAGTACAGTTTTATGGGATTTGTGACCCCTTTGGGTAGCCAGTGGGGATAGCATAGTCTTCTTATAGACTTTTATTCACAAAGCAGAGCAGTATATGGGAAAAATAGTGAGTTGGGAGCCAGGAGCTCCTAGTGACCCAGCCATGTGACCAGAGGAAATACTTCGGGCTTCAGTTTTCTTCCCTGACATAGAGGTTGGCCTGGGTCACCTTTGGGATCCCCTCTTTTTTTAGACAGCTTTCTTCTGGGCAGACATGAAAATTTAGTAAGAGTTAGCACGTGCCATGTGCCAGGCACTATTCTAGGAGCTTTCCTTGTAGTAGCTCATGTCATCTTCACTACCGCCCCGTGAAGTAGACACTGATATGAGCCCTACTTAGAAGAAGAAGCTGAGGCCTGGAGAGGCGCAAGGTCATTCAGGGGTGAGTGGAAGAGCCGAGACGCAGGCGGCTCTCATTGACTCAGTTAGCAGCAGTGGTCCAACTCTAAAGGGTTTCTCGTTGTAGACCACCTTTGCTTGTATTATTTGAGCCAGGTAGCCATATTGAGAGTTGTCATCATCACCTCCATATTATAAGTGAGAAAACCGACATTCACTTTAGTGGTGACTGGGGAGGCCAGGACTTCAACTGAGTCTGTCGGAGTCCAAAGTCCCACCCTTTGTAGTATTCCTGCCCCTCAAACCGGAAGCTCTCGCCATGAACACCCGACTTACTCGGAGACAAGGGAGAGCTCAGTCTCCTCAGCTGATGGGCCTGGCAGAGACGCAGTCCATGAAGTATTTCTAACAGTTTGTGGCTGGTATTAAAAATTAAAAATAAATTGATTTTCTAAATTGACTTACCATCCACTAAACATGCTACATATACTTGTTAAATGTACTAATATATATGTAGATACTTTTGGTTTCCTATGTAGATAATAATACCATTTATAAATAATAAAATTGTTTTTTATTTCTTAAAAAAAAAAAAGATCTCTTCCAGTTCTGACAGTCCACCACTTGGAACATAATGTTCCTCGTTGAGATAAGTATAGTGATTTGGAGCTGTGGGATCTTAATTTCTGTGGTGTATCAATGGTCTGTTCGATGCCAAGTTCTTGCACAAGAACAGAGGCCCATAATTATGCATATTTCTATGGGAAAATCTGTCCAGCTTCTTTGCTCCACTTGAGAAGATATTTTTCCAAGAAGATAAGGGGTGAGGGGAAAAGTGATGGCCTTCATAGGCTTATAAGATTTAAATCACCAGGAGAATGCGGAAATTAGAGTGTTTTTAGTTCTGGTTTAGTCACTCAAGTTGAGTACCCTATTTTTGGGTATAACACCGTGAGATCACCACAGGTCCCTTAACTGCAAATTATTCCAGTGACCATCTGCAGTCACACATACTCAGGTGGCCACAGTGTGCACACATCTTTGACTACCTCACAAGGTGAGGAATCTCACAATTGACTTGTTTTTTCAAAAAAGGAAAAAAAGAACCTGAACATCGAAGATACTTTCCTACTTTGTAGAAAACTACAGAACCATCTGAGAATGCTTGGATGTCCCTTTTGGGAAAGTGCCCTCTGAGACCTTTCCTAAGGATATTTCAGGTGTGTGTGACAGATACCGTTTTTACAAACTATGTTTATTTCAGCCAACCTTATTTGGTCCTCACAGGAGCCTGGACAAGCGGGTACTGCCCTCCCTTCTGCAGAGGAAGAATTCAGGCTTCCAGCAGCCAAGGGCTTGCTTGCGTGCGGCTGTGTCAGGACTGCAATTCAAGCCCCTAGTTTCTTGTTCAGGGCTTTCTTCACTCCACGAAGACCATCATTCTAACATCCTACAAATGTCCGGTGCAAATGTCTGTGTGAAATATATGCTCTTTTCTGTCTGTTTACTTCAGACTCTGGGGAGAGATCGGAGAGACATTAGTAACTTCTTTTTTCTTTCCTCAAGTCCCTGTGACGAAATGACTGTTTCTGCAGTGCTTGTTTTCTGGGCCCTGGAAAGATTCCAAAGCTGTCACTGTGTTTTCCATCTGGCACTTTTTCAAGAATCTCTCTGCTGCTTCCTGCAGCCTGGAGGTCGTCCTGCAGAGGCCCCTCTACCACCCCTGACAGGCTGGTGGGGCAGGACATAGGCATCACGGAGCTGTGCAATAGGCAGGAACAGCTTGACGAGGGGGCGGGCGCCCCATTGCGTGCAAACTCACTCCAAGACGGGGAAGCGGCCCCCAGAGACATGGTTTTCAAAAGTAGAAAACTACCTGCTAATTTGTTACGGAAACTTTAAGTATTGAATGAATCTAGTGATTTTTTAAAATATAATTCAACCTATGGGAAAAAATCCAGCTTGACTTTCTTGAAACACTCACGGGTCACACTATTTGGAAAGCAACACTGAAAAGAAACTTTGGAACTTCCAAGGGAATGTGGATGGTGAGTGAGCCTCTGCATTACAGAGTTTGAGCCGTCCCACCTCCCCAAGAACGCTCAGGACCTCAAAGACCCAGCCAGAAAAGACCAAAGAGATGATGGAAGTCACAGCTTTGCAGAAACTTCAGAAAATTTGTGTTTACAAAAGGGTTTGCAATAAAAGCTGCTGCTCACGTTTTCCTTCTGAAATAGGTCAAGGAAGTGAAACTCTGGAAGGTAACTCACAGGTGAGGTCTAAATATCCTAAGGACAGCTCAACCACTGTTACCCAAATTTGCAAAAGCACCTGTAGGCTTCACAGTCCTCCCAAGTGTAAGTCACTCAAAGTGGAGAAGAAAAGGAGGACGCCTTGCCTGGGTGTTTATACTGGGATGAGCCTAAAGTTGAATCAGTTTTTGTGTGTTAAGCATGTCCCTAATAATTTGAACAGCCGCTTATTCCCTCCCCTCCCTTCTCCTCTTCGCTCTTTCCTTGCTTTGTACATTACAACCATTTAAAAGGCACTGGGCGAGTTGTTTAAGGACTCCTGTGGGTGATACCAGAACTTTGGAGCTGGAGGGGAGCTCAGCAACCACTGAAACCCTTTTACAAATGAGGCAAACCAAGAGCCGGGACTTTGAATGGATGTGTGCAGTGCTCGAGCGCTGGTCAGACAGAGCTGAGTCTCCCAGGCGCTGGCGTTCTCTGCCACGCCTCTCCTCCCTTCTGCTTCACCCTCAGGTGGCACGTGGTCTTCAAAATCTCTCTGTGTGAGATGGATCCCCAAGGAGAGCTCCCCGGCACTTGGCCCACTCCAGATTTATGTGTCTAGGTGACAAAGAAGTTCCCTTGCATGTGTCTTTTTCCCTAGGCACGCTGGCAGCTGCGTTACTTTCCCATGGCTGTCCTAGCAAACCAGCACACATGGGGCAGCTGGAGACAACAGACATTTGTCCTTTCACAGTTTGAAAGGCCAAAAGTCCAAAATCAAGGTGTTGGCAGGGTCGCACTCTGTCCAAGGACTCTGGAAGGGAACCTGTCCTTGCCTCTTTGAGATTCTGGTGGTTTCAGGCCCATGGCTGTGTAAATCTGGCCTCTGCCTCTGCCTCCGCGCTCGCAGGGCCTTCTCCTCGCAGCTGGAGACATCTCTTCTTTCTCCTACAAGAACATTTGTGTTTGGATTTAGAGCCAACCAAGCTAATCCAAGACGATTTTCTCATCTCAAGATGCTCAACTTAGTTCCCTCAATGAAGACCCTTTTCCCAAGTAAGTTCACGTTCACAGGTCCCAGGGGTTAGGACATGGAGATATCTTTGGGGGCCAACATTCCACCCACGACAGCACTCACGTACATAGACTCCTGGAAACAGCCCTAAATCCTCAGTGTACATACAGTAAATTCTGTATTTGCATATCCCGAGCTGTGCTGCTTGCACTCAGTTTTGAAGAGCTGTTTTCCAAAGGAGGTTCCTGGTGAAATGATTTTGGTAATTTGTATAAGAAAGATAAGCAGTTAGCAGGTTTTTGTTTGTTTCTTTGTTTGCTTAGGTGCAGGATTCCTCTGGACCTGTAAGAAGCTGACGGGCATTGTGGCCACCGTACGATGGCGTAGGGGACCTGGCATTTCCCAGGTGTGGATGTTTTTGAGCTGTTATGTTTTGCCTGGGTTTCCCAGAAATCAGGGCCTAAGCAAAGGCTTAAGTGCAAGCTTTCCACTGGGGATTATTATCCAGGGAGCCAGTGTGAAGGGCAGGGCCTGCCACAGACAGATGGAGAGGCAGTGCCCAGGGTGTCCTGGATCTGGTGGCCTGATCCCAGGGGGTGGCTCCAAGAGCTGGGTGAAGGGTATCTGGGAGCACTGCTCTAGGAGAAAGAAGGGGGCAGCAGCTGTCCACTGGCTCCTCCACAAGCCTGTGGGGCCTCACCTTCCACGCAGGCTTTGCACATCTAAGCACCTAGCAGGGCCCCACCATGTCCCTCACCTTTGTGTAAGTGCCATGTCAGCACCTGCAGGAAGTTGGTGAGAGCCTGCACAGAAGCGGTCACACCATAGTCACTGGCGTAGGGGACAGCTGAGGGGGAGAGAACGTGCAGCTGTGGTGAGAGGAGTCTGCTACGCCCCCGACCTGTCAGTTCAGGGCTCATCCCATGAAATAAGGGCTCCTGGGAGGATCTCTGAGAAACCCGCTTCATGATTAAATTGCCACGATGCCTCATTTCATTACAAACGTGCTTTGATCCTGCTTATGCAGGGTTACCGCACACTCGCTCAGTTCTCCACCCAGGAGTCACTGTCAATAGTCTGTTTGACAAAATACATTACTATGGCTTTTTAAACTTTAAGTCGGGAGAAAGTTCATTCTTGAAAGAGCTATTTATACACACTGGAAAGCACATTCCTGGAGCTGATTTAATTTTAACTTTATTTGTGTCGTCGTATCTGCTGACTGCACGCTATGACAACTGGAAGATTTCTTCAGGTATGCGATACTTCCTGCTCATTCAGCCAATGTGGTAAATACCATCTGACCAATAGCAAAGGGAAAAAGAGTACACAGCAGCTTCTTCTCTAGCTCATCGGGAGGAAAAGAGCAAAGAGGAAGGAAAAGAAAGAGCATGGCCTGGTCCAAATTTTGGGACAGTTACATTAAACAAAAGGATCAGAAAATGGAAATGTATTCCTTTGAAATGACTGTAATCGGCTGAATGTTGAGGCTGGGAGCAGAGTAATGATGGAGAACAAGGTGGATGAGAGTGTTAATTTTCTCTGATGATGAAGGGTATATGGTCACACTTACAAGAGGAGATGCAGACATCACAGAGGAGCTGATTTTCAAGAGACCCACTCTGCTTGCTGGGGTCCATTTTCCGGATGGTTGGTTGGCATGGAGGAGGCAGGAATCACAGTGAGCCCACGTCCTCTCCAAGGCAGGCACGCAGGAGACGTGTGATCCAAGCAAAGCCAGCAAAGTAAGAACTATAGAGAAACCCCAAGATGGCAACATCAGTTCAATCCGGCTTTGGTGTTGCTGTCAATGAAACAAGCTAGGATCACAGGCATAGAGAGGGGAGGAGGCAGAAGGGGCTGGTGGGGAATGGGTCAAAGCTGTGCAGGCCCAAGTTGGGGAAAAAGCCTATTCTTTTTAAAACTTCAGAAATGTTCTTTTGGAAGCAGGATAGTAAAAGGAAAAGAACCTAGACTTTGCAGCCAGTTGACTTAAACCCAATTTCTGGATCCTTTGCTTGTGAGCTATGTGGTCTTGGGACGGTCATTTGGCTTCTCTGCCTCAGGTTTCTGATCTATAAAGTGGAAAGAATGACATATGTCTGTTAGTAGCAAATAACACCCTATTCAACCTGTTTAAACATACAGGAATACTTCTAGGCAAGGTGGCTCTGGGCATTCCTCCAAACGCTTCTGAAAAATAGATGAGAAAAAATCATAGTTGAGGCTCAAAAACCACCTAAATAGGGGCCGGCCCAGTGGCATAATGGTTGGGTTCACGTGCTCTGCTTTGGTGGCCTGGGGTTCACCAGTTTGGATCCCAGGCGCAGATCTGTGCACTGCTTATCAAGCCAGGCTGAGGTGGCATCCCACATCTAAAGTAGAGGAAGATGGACACAGATGTTAGCTCAGGGCCAATCTTCCTCAAAAAACAAAAAAAACCCCACATAAATATATCTAAAGACCACAAACACACACAAAATAATACAAAATGCCCCAGGTCCAGGAGAAAGCAGCATTGGTCAGGAATTTGGCCTAGGCAGCATTACTATATGCTGAAAAAAAAAAAAAGAAAAAGTGAAGGAATTAGAGGCCAGCCCCATGTTTTACACGAGGGCGTGGATGGGATTTGAGACTACAGATCTGTAAGACTAGAGGAGAAAGGGTAAAGGCACAGCCTTTTGACCAGGATCCGAGTCAGTTCACCCTCACCTGATATGGGACAGGGCATGGAACCAGGGCCTCAAGGCATTAGGGGGAGGAAACATAGAAGTCATGAAATTGTATGCGTCTAACAATGTAGCCTCAAAATTCGAAAAGCAAAAGTTGCTATAATTACAAGGAAAATTTGACTAATCCATAAACCCACTGGGGTAGTTTAATATATATCAAAAATGATTGGTTGAGCAGACTTCAATTGGTAAGGATATAGAAGATATGAACAGGAAAATAAGAACTTTGTTCTAATAAATATAGAGACAATTCCATAACCCCTAAATGAAGACTATATATTATTTTCAAGTACACAGGGAGTATTTATAAAAATTTACTATGTATAGGTCACAAAGGAATTGTCTGCAAATTTCAAATAACCAATTTCATAAGAATAATTGTTTTCTAAGTAAAAGCAATTAGAACAGAAATCAACAAAAATGAGAATAAAAAACGGACAAACATATATTGGGAAACTTAGAAATGTGCTTCCAAATGGTTCACGGGTGTATTAGTTTCCTGTGGCTGCTGTCACAATCCCCACACACTCGGGGGCTTCACACAGCAGAATATTTTCCCACAGTTCTGGAGACCAAAAGTCTGACCAAAAGTTTGGTATCACGGGGTTGAGATCAAAGCGTTGCCCGGGCTGTGCTCCTCTGGGAGCGCCAGGGAGAATTTGTTCCTTGCATCTTCTGGCGGCTCAGGACGTTCCAAGCCTGCATCGCCCCAGGCTCTGCTTCTGCGGTCCCATGGCTGCCTCCTCTTCTGTCAGTGTGAAATCTCTCTCTGCCTTCATAGTATGAAGATACATGGGATCGCATTTAGAGCCCATCCAGATCTCCAGCATAAATCCCCATCTTGACATCCTTAGCTCAGTCATATCTACAAAGCCTTTGTTTGCATATAAGGTCACATTCTCAGGCTCCGGCGATCAGGACACGGGTGTCTTCTGGGGGCCATTACTCAACCTACCACACGGATGAGAGGGAAAAATCACAGAATTGTGAACGACAATTGTGAATGACAATCATATATATCAGGACTTGTGGAATGGAGCAAAAATCACACCCAGAGGCAAATTTATAGCCTTAAATGCAAATACATTTTTTTAAAAGAATATTTAAAGTAAACTACTTGATTCAACTCAAGAAACTGTATCAGGAATTGGAATACTACCCTCCAACTGGCAAGTATATAGAAACTTCAAGGAACAAACATCCCCCATACAAATCTTTTCAGAGTCTAGATCTAAAAAGGTCGGCTACCCACGTAATTTTATCAGGCTAATAGAACTTTCATATGCAAACTAGACAGAATGGTATGAGAAAAGATAATTATAGACCAATCTCACTTATAATCATGAATGCAAAAATCCTAACTAAAATGCAGGAAATGGAATTCAGCAGTGATCAAAAATATCCAATGACAAAGTCAGGCTTATCCTGTCACTATAAGACTGCCTCAATACTAGACAATCTCTCAATGCGATACATACTGTTAACAAACTAAAGGAGAAAGATCATGTGATCGTCTCAATAGAGGCCCCAAAAGCATAAAATAGAAGTCCTCCATCATTCGTGATTGAAAACTAAAAGCACGTAGCAAAGTAGCCCTGAGAAGAATGTCCCTTGTCCTAATAAAGGGTGCGCATCAAACACCGACAGCTAGAAGTTCCCCCTCTGGACAGAGGAGGAAGCTTGCCTGCATTCACTGTTACTTCTGTGGCGTGCCCCGGTTTGGGAGGCTTACTCTAGTTTCCCCTTTTCCCTTGTCGTGTTTGGGTACGCAGGTGCAGATGGTAATGGTATCAAAGCATGGCCTGTAGGAGGCTGCTGGTTTTCTACCAGATCCACTCTTCTCTTTCTCCATTATCTCAGAGACCCAGCTAGGCATGTGGTAGCTCAGCTAGCCAATATTTCCCCATGTCCTGTGACATTCTGTGTGACCGTGTGACTAAGTTCTCTCCAGTGGAACACAAGGGAAAGGGATGTGTCTATATATGGGTGTGCATCTTAAGACATGGGTGTGTCCCTTCCAGACTCTTTCCCTTCCGACCAGCTGGAAGCTGGAGCTGGGAGCAGCAGTGACCTAGCTTCAACCATGCAGGTGATGACGGAGTTACAGGAAGGGAGGAGCTGTGCTCCCTGAAAGACCTGTGGAACAGCGCTGGCCCTCCTGTCTGGGATGCTTGCACTGGGGCTAAGTGACAAAGACATAAAGGTAGATATTCTTGAAAGCCCTGAAGCTTTGTGTCTCTTTCTTACAGGGCTTGGTCTTACCATAACCAACAACAGGGGAATAGTAATGGCAGTTTAGGACATTGGATCACATGGTGCACAAAAGAGCTTCAACAGCATCTTTAACATGGTTTCTTTAAAAAACGCAGATGGGAATATGTCAGTTTTAAAATGCCGTGTTGTAGATACACTGATATTTGTCATATAATTTTCTATTCTTGTCTGCAGGTTTGAAGTACGTAATAATAAAACTGAAAGTGATCAAGAGAATTTGTTGGCTACAGATATATTCTGACTTCAGGATAATTTCAGTTCCACTGTTTGGTAATATCACCAGGAATTGTTTTATCTTAGACTTTGGGCTGCCTTGCTCTCGTATTTTGACTGCTTCTTAAAATGCCCCTCCACGTCCCAAGATAACTACCAGCACCTTCTGGAATTCATGCAGCCTCATTCATTATAAACAGAAAAGACTATCTTTGTCCCCAAGTAGGGAAAACATTGCTTCACCAAACATATGTTAAGATCTTATTCTTTGCCAAGTACTAGTGACGCAGAAATGAGTCAGACGTGATTGCTTAAATGGGAAAGCTCGGAGTCATCATCTGGACATCCACAATATTCCTATTTCCTTCTGCGTAAAGATTGTTTTTAAAAATGCTCGTATTCTGCGATTTATGAAGTGTGTTGATGAGGTATGTTTATGAGGTGTGTTGAGTAACTGATGTAGAACCGGCCCCCGTCCTTCCTTACCTGGGCTCCTACGTCCACGAACATGAGATGTCACACTTTTCTTTAGTCATTCTCCCTGCTTTGAAAACCCTTTCCTTCCTTCTCCACCAGGCCGAGTTTTAACGTTTCTTCAAAGCCCTCCAGGGCATCTTTCTAGGGCGTATCAAGAAATGAGATCCGCGGGCAAGTAAGTGACTGGGACGACTTCTCCCCGGCTATGGGGTCATTGCTTAAGAGCTAGACTTGCTGGATGTCACCTCCACAAGTTCGTCCCCTCCTTTGTGTCCCCGTAGCACTTGGTTTACATGGTCAGTATGACACTCAGATGTACATACACGACTAACTACAACACGGTGCGGCTACTCTCCCACTTGACTTGTTTCTGAGGATAAGGACACTCGATTATTCACCTTTGAGGTTCAGTCTTCTGGATCATACTGGACGTGTGTGGGACAGAATGCTGACTGCATAACCAGTGTCAATGGCCCCTTCTTCTTAAGAACAGACCCACGTTGGGTATGTCATTATGCTTAGTTTAAAAACCATGTCTCCCATTCTCCCTTCCACATAAAAGTGATGAATGTGCAAGTGGAGGGTTTTGGACAGGACTTCCAGGACAATTCTTTAAAAGGGGCTTACTCAACTGAGAGCCGATCCTCCTTCTCCCATTCCTTTGTCTTTCTGTTCAGAATTCAAACGTGATGGTTGACGTGCTAGCAGCCATCTTGTGACCATGAGTCAACCTTGAAGATGTAAGCCCTGTGCCAAGGTTGGTGAGCAGGAACAAGAAAGTGCAGGAAGACGGGTCAGTCATGTAGCTCCGACTGTACTGCTGGGCCATCTACCCCTGGACATTTTTAATGTGAGAGAAAAACACACCTCTATCATTTTTAAGCCACTGTCATTTTAGGTTTATATTACTAGTAGCTGAACTTCATCCTAACTGATATAATGCTTGATAAATGTTTACAACTTAAAGTAAAGAAGTATAATTCTCAGAATAACTTATTCAGCACGGGCAGTCTAAGCCAAAGGTAGCAAATCACCAGGCTGAAGCTGAATCCAGAAACAAGTCAGGTTTATTTTTTTTAATGCAATAATTGCCAACATCAGAAAGCTGGGCAATTTCATGTAAACATTTAGATTTCTTCTTCTTTAAAATCAGGAAGGTTTAGCAACATTGGGCCCATACTCCTGCCTGGCATCAGTTGATGAATGGTGGCTGCCCCCTTGGTATGGGGCCAAGGGTCTTGTTTTCAGCTCCTCTCAACCATGGGAGCTGCCCAGGCCCTACAGGCAATAGGTGCGTGGCTCCAGAGCTGAGCTAATGTCAAAATTTTAGCTAAGCTAGATTTTCGGCCTTCCTCTTTCAGGTTGTTTAAGGCATCCTGTGTCATTAGGTATCCACTTTACTTTGCACAAACGTGAATCCTGGCAGTGGGTATCCCTTCTGTTGTGCAGGGGAAGGCCAGGCTTATATTTGATAAAACACTTTCAGGGCTCACATGGGTTAGGTCAATGTGAAGCTGGCTGTGAACAAGAATCTCCGGGGAAATTTTTGTTTGTTTTGTTTTTTGAG